TGCGTTGGAAACCGGAGCGTGTTCTGTGCTCTTTGCCGCCTGGCCTGGTGACAGGCTCCCGCCGGGAGAGAGGTCGTCGGCCGTCCCCGAGGCAGGGATGTTTTAACCTTGGGATGATGTTTCAGTGACTCCGAGAGCCATAGGGGTGGGTCCCCGCTGGCCCAACTTTGGCGATAGCCCGGCTGGTCAGTGCGGGACGGGGCCGTGCGGAGAGGGACCGTGCCCCGCTAGGAAAAGGCCCACGGGCACGTAGGGGACAGACGTGCGCCCGAGGGACTAACAGACAAGCTGGAACGAGGTAGGAACCCCGCAAACAAACCCCCAAACTTCGAGTCCATGCCAACTCAAGAGCGGACAGAGCGGCCCCAACCGGAGAACCATGAAAGGGCCACAAATCAGCAGATCGCTGCCCGGCGCTTCACGTGCAACTCACGTGCGTCCCAGCAGCGCGGGCTCTGCTTCCCGGGTTTGGACGTTCAGGGCCCTGATTTCAGAGGACCACCCAGTCAATTGGCCGGATGGACCATTTCGTGCTTCTGTACCGCCTCCCAGTGCTCAGCCTAGGGCCTGGGGCCTTACAAACTCGCAAGTGCCCATTCAAGGGAGGAAGAAGGAGAATTCGGAGGGGAAAAGGATTTGGAATATGTGCCTAATTGCCGCCATTGCCCTATCAGCTACCACACCACGAGAACTGGATAGAGCCCAGCTACCCGTCACAGGACGTTTTGAGCCAAGATTCTATAGAAGAATCCGGATCAAGATAAGGACATACAAAGCAGAATTTCAAATTCTCGTGAATTCCAAACGTTCTGGAGCCTGGAGATTGGATGAGCCCTTGAATCTATTGCCCTGAGATAATCTTTAAGCCTGAAACCAAATGATCCCCTCAAGTCACTTTAAAACAGAACAATCATTTCTTTTAACTAGTAAAAATTTTAAAAAGATCTGCCTTAGGCATTATGCACTTAAAAAATTATTTTATTGGGGGCTCATACTGCTCTTATCACAATCCATACATCCCTCCATTGTGTCAAGCACATTTGTACATTTGTTGCCATCATCATTTTCAAAACATTTTCTTTCTACTTGAGACCTTGG